ATCTTTTGCCTTTTATCAATCCTATAAGAATATTTCATGCACTGTTGTTGCAAATGACTCCACATGTTACTAGTGCCATGATTTTTTGTGTCACATGCGTAGTCTTTGCCACAATAGTTACATGCAACCCTAGGTTCATCCTTATCCTTCATTTTAGTGAAATGGTCCCAAATTTCTGATTTTAATATAGAACCTTGCATATTGTTTTACTTAGTGGGTTGTGTTCTACTAATTTTACGAGGAGCAGGGAGATTTTTAACCGGATTTGCAGTCTAAGAATCTTGTTGCTTTGAGTCCATTGCTACTGGATCTTCAACTTCATCAATCCCATGCACATTTTAATTTATTTTAGGATCCAACTGAAAACAAAATACCATTATAAATTTATAATTATTATTGAGTTTCTCAAGATGAACATTAATAATTTAACAAATTAAGAAAAAAGCAACTAATTGGTTATAATAAAAAACTATATATGTTATTCTTTTATCTAACATCAATAAAACTAAAATATATAAAATAATAAAAACATATTTCAGAATATATATAATATATTTTTGAAAATATATATTCTGATATTATATATATCTGATATATTCCAATAAAAATATATAGTTTTTGTGCAAATTATGAAATTTATAAATATCTATTACTATATTTCAAATGTATATATGAAAAATATATATTCCGAAATATATCAGTTATATATTTATGGGAATATATATATATATATTTATTTATTATATGTTTCAGATATATATTACTATATTTCAGTTTTAATATATATATATATATATATATATATATATATTTCAGCTATATTACTATATTTCTGATTTATATATATAATATTTATTTATTTATTTTGGAAATATACATATGATATATAAAAACTTAGAATATATTTTTTGGAATATATTTAAAATTGAAATATATAATAATATAAAAATACACAGTTTTTGTGCAAAATGCAAATTATGAAATTACTATAAATATCTATTACTATATTTCAATATATGTATACATATATATATTATATTGTATTTCAGATATATATTACTCTATTTCAGTTTTATTATATATATATATATATATATTCAGATATATTACTATATTTCTGCTTTATATATATAATATTTATTTATTTATTTCGGAAATATACATATGATATATAAAATTTTAGAATATATTTTCTGAAATATATTTAAAATTGAAATATATAATAATATAAAAATACATAGTTTTTATGCAAATTATGAAATTACTATAAATATCTATTACTATATTTCAAATATATATATGAAAAATATATATTCCAAAATATACCAGGTATATATTTATGGAAATATATATATATTATATTTCAGATATATATTACCACATTTCATTTTTAATATATTACTATATTTCAGCTTTATATATATAATAGTTATTTATTCATTTCAGAAATATACTTATTATATATAAAATTTCAGAATATATTTTCTGGAATATATTTAAAAATTAAAGTTGAAATATATAATAATATAAAAATACATAGTATATATATATATATTTCGGAAATACACATATTATATATAATATTTTAAAGTATATTTTCTGAAAATATATATCTGATATATTTCAGAATATATACTTTTTAGATATAGATTTTTTCAGATAATTCAGTTTTTATGCATAACAGAAATACCTTTATTTAACAGTTTTAAATATAAAATATATTTAAATTAAAACCGAAATATATATGTATATAGATTAGGTTTTTCATACAAAACTGAAAACTGAAGTTTTTAAGATATTTTCTAGAAATATATTTAGAACTGAAATATGTATTTCAGAAATATATACAATATATATATATATATATATATATATATATATATATATATATAAACAAAAATATA